TTATGTCACTTGTTCCACTGTGTTGTACCTTGTGAATGCTCCAACGACAAAAGTTGTTATCTGATCTGTATGAAGTTTAATGCATCATTTAAATTAGTAAAACAAAGAAGCCTATTGAATTTCAGCAATTTCCGTTAATTACATCTAGAGTTATGGCCATTGTTTCACTTTGTTGAATCTTGTGAGTGCTCTAATGATAACAGTTATCATCCGATCTGTTTGAAATTGATATGCATTATTTAAATTAGTGAAACGAAGAAGTCTATTGAATTTCACCAATTACTATTAATAACACCATGAGTTATGGCCCTTGTTTCACTTTGTTGTACCTCGTGAATGCTCTAATGACAAAAGTTATTATCCGATCTGTATGAAATATATATGTATCGTTTAAATTAGTAAAACGAACAAGCCTATTGAGTTTCAGAAAATTTCTGTTAATTACATCTAGAGTTATAGCGCTTGTTTCACTTTGTTGAAACTTGTGAACACTTGAACGACAAAAGTTATCACTAAATCTGTATGCATCATTTCAATTAGTGAAATGAAGAAGTCTATTGAATGTCAGCAATTTCCGTCAATTACTTCTTGTGTTATGGCCTTTGTTTTACTTTGTTGAACCTTGTGAACGTTCGAACGACAAAAGTTATCATCCGACCTGTATGAAATTGATATGCATTATTTAAATTAGTGAAACGAAGACGCCTATTGAATTTCAGCAATTACTGTTAATTATGCCATGAGTTATGGCCCTTGTTTCACTTTGTTGTACCTCGTGAATGCTCTAACGACAAAAGTTATTATCCGATCTGTATGAAATTTATATGTATCGTTTAAATTAGTAAAACGAACAAGCCTATTGAGTTTCAGAAAATTTCTGTTAATTACATCTAGAGTTATAGCGCTTGTTTCACTTTGTTGAAACTTGTGAACACTTGAACAACAAAAGTTATCACCAAATCTGTATGCATCATTTAAATTAGTGAAATGAAGAAGTCTATTGAATGTCAGCAATTTCCGTCAATTACTTCTTGTGTTATGGCCCTTGTTTTACTTTGTTGAACCTTGTGAAAGTTCGAACGACAAAAGTTATCATCCGACCTGTATGAAATTTATATGCATTATTTGAATGAGTAAAATGAAAAAGCCTGTTAAATTTCAACAATTTCTGTAGATTACTTCCAGAGTTACGGCCCTTGTTTTAGTTTTTAGAACCTTGTGAACCCTCAAACGACGAAAATTATGTCATCTGTATGAAATTTTCTATTAAATTCCCCTAATTACCTACAAAAGAATACTCAAACAATGAAAATTATAATGTCATCTGTATGAAATTGTCTATTAAATTCCCCTAATTACCTACAAACGAATAAATATGCGACGACCCATGTCGACTGCTCGGACGATTTAGCTGCTGTGGGCGTATGTTTTGTTGCCTGGCAACCCATCTTTATCCGAATTTGTTGAAACTTGAAATGTAAGTTGAAAACCCAAAGATCTCAGTTCCTGTTCATATTCGCGCATATCAGACCGTAACTTTCTGAATTATGGCCCCTGATAGTACGAAAAGTTGCGTTTTTAGCCTGTCGACCCTATAGAGGTCATAATTTTTATCTGATTTAAAAAAAACGTTTGAATATATCACCATTACACCCTAAGGATGGTTTAGTTCTCGTACTCAAATAGTGTAAAAATATGGTATATCAAGGTTGTGGACTCTCTAAAGGTCGAACAGTAGAACGTTAAACACCATTTCATTTCATTTCTCTAAAGGTCACAATTTTCTTCTGATTTTGATGAAACTTGAAATGTAAGTTTATAACCCAAAAATCGCGGTTCCTTTCGATATTCGCGCATATCGGGCTGTTACTTCCTGAATTATGGCCCCTGATTGTACGAAAAATCATGCTTTTAACTTTTTTAGCTTGTGGTCCCTCAAGATGTCACAATTATTATCTGATTTAAAACAAATCTTCGAATATGTCACCCTTACACCATATTGTTGGTTGAGTTTGAATTTCATGGAAATTGGACCAAAACTGCTAGACAAAATGGCCGCCCGTCTACACAATTAGAGTAAAAATATGGTATATCAAGGTTGTGGACCCTCTAGAGCTAACAATTTTGATCCGATATTAATGAAACTTGAAATGCATGTTTATAACTCAAAGATCTTGGTTCCTGTCGATAATCGCACATATCTCATTGTACCTTCCTGAATTATGGCCCTTGATGTTGCGAAAAATCGTTTAGCTTGTTCTCTATTCATCTCTTGAAAAATGTGGGCGTATTCTGCCTGGCAGCTGCTGGTTGATAAAAATATTGGAGCATTGTAAATAGATTTAATCATTTGGATTATATAAATGAATGCAAAGACTTGAAATAAATGTCTTGTAAAACTATATAATTTAGCAGATAAGGCAATTCATACTGCTGGAGCAATTTTTATTTTCACAGAAAAACCCATTATGTTCTGCTTTAAATTCCACTATATATCTATGTATTTGTCAAACTCACAAAGTTTTATGCCAAAGTAATTAAGAATTAATTTTGAATTTTACACTATTAATAGTCACTTGAAAAATATCAAATAACAACTTTGATAAACACATCTTTATTGTCTTTGGTGGACATATTTGACCCCCGCCTTTTGAAGAAAGCAGGGAACTATTAAAATTGGTTCGTCCCTCCGGCTGTCTGTCCGTCTGTCACACTTTTTGGGATACGATAACTCTCTTTCTAATTGAGCTAGAATGTTCAAACTTGGTGTAGTTGTTTATTAGGTCAATGCCTTGATGGAGTTCGAAGATGAGCATTTTCTGCTGAGACCAGAGATAAGCAATTTGATTGGTTGATGCTTTGGGGCACGATAACTTTGGTTATAATGAAGTGAGAGCGATGAAACTCGGAAGATAGATTTATTATATCATTACCTTGACTAAGTTTGATGGTGCAGATTTTCTGCTAAGGAGCGATAAGCAATTTGATTGGTCAAGACTTTGGAACATAACAACTCTGCTATTAATTGAGGTAGAATGTTTAAACTTGATGTTAATGTTATTAGGTGAATGTCTTGACTGAGTTCAATAAAACTAAAACTAAGCAAAGCAAAGCAATTTCTTTGGTCGATGCTTTGGGACAAGGTAATCTGGATTCTATCTGATAGAGAGTGATGAAACTTAGTGTATTGTTTGATTTTTTGATACTTTTGAAAAAAATAAATATGCGATTAATTAATATGTGTCATCTATTTATTTTGGGATTTCGGCGGGGGACATCAGCCTCACTGTTGGCTTGTTGATCTTTAAAGTTGGGGCATATTTTACACTGTTATTACAGCAGAATCAAATAACAGTTCATATACAAAACATATTTTATTCTTTTTCTTCAGGGAAAATAGACAGGCACAGACTATCTCATCTCTCTAGAAATTGTTATAAATCGAGCCCAAACATACTATTATATTATTAGTACAACTTGATCAACCTACTCTATAAAATGTTATTATTTGATGTGTCAACATTTGAAAAGTTTCTGTTCATAATCATATATATATATGTATATATATATATATAAAATATTTTTATCTTTCATTGTTGTAGAAAGTGATAAAAGTGTTTTGTCCACCACCTTTCGAAGAAAGTAGGGGACTATTAAAATGGGTCTGTCAGTCTTTCTGTCCATCACACTTTTTGGGACATAATAACTATCCTTTTAATAGAGCTAGATATCCAACCTCGGTGTAGGTGTTTATTAGGTGAATGTTTTGTTGGAGTTGGTTCTAATTAAGTGAGAATGATGAAACTTGGTGTATAGTTTCATTATAATAATACCTTGACTAAGTTTGATAATGAGCATTTTCTGTCCACGTTAAGCAGAGCGATAAGCAATTTGATTGGTCGAGACTTTGGGTATAGTTTCATTACATCAATACCTTGACTAAGTTTGATGATGAGCATTTTCTGTTTAGGCTAAGTGGATACTTCAATCTGATTGGTCGAAACTTTGGAACACATTAACTCTCCTTATTGAGGTTGGTGTAGGTGTTTATTCACACTGATCAGCAGTGAATATTCGCTAGACTTCTACAGTCACTGATAAGGATGACATTGATGCGACTTAATGAGCCGCAAATATTAATTTTTTTCCTCTGACAAATTAAATTCTAAAACATTTTTTTAATGTATTAGAAAAATAAATAAATACCTTTGAAGAATTTGTAGGTAAAAATTATTTCCTATTTTAGTAGATATTAAAATGAGTAAAAGGCGCCATTCTGATCGAATCAGTAACGTCGTATGTAAACAATGCACACGCCATTGAGCCAATGATTGACGCCACGTGATATGATGTCATGCATTGAAGGCAGTCATCTTTTACAGAGATATTACAAGACTTTCGTATTCAATGTGAAACAGATTGGTGTTTATTAGGTGAATGCCTTGATAGTGTTTGATCATGCACATTTTCCACTAAGGCTATGCAGAGAGAAGCAATTGATTGAGACTTTGGGACACAAAACTTTGGTTTTAATTGAGTAAGAGGGATGAAACACAGGGTATAGATTCATTATATCACTACCTCAACTAAGTTTGGTGATGAGAATTTTCTGCTTAGGCTAAGTAGTGATAAGCAATTTCATTAGTCAAGATTTTGGAACATAACAACACTGAATGTCTTGACCGAGTTTGATTCAATGATTAACATTTTCTGTTAAAGCTAAGCAGAGTAAAACAATTTTATTGGTCTATGCTTTGGGACAAGATAACTTTGATTCTAACTGATGGAGAGTGATGAAACTTATAGTTTCATTACCAGGTACTTCAAAACATTGACTGAGCTTGATCATGAACATTTTCTGCTTAGGCTAAGTACAGATGATCAGTTTGATTGCTTAATACTTTTCAAAAAGTTAAATGTGCAATTAATTAATATGTCGTCTATTTATTTTGGGATTGCCATGAGGGGGCATCAACCTCACTGTTGGCTTGTTTTTGTAGTTTTTGGGAGAATGTAGTGTGGATCAACCAAAGGGTAGTGAAGTGGTGAAAGATGCAATAAGAAAAATGAAGGTATGGTAATCCAACAATGAAACAAAGACCATATATGTATTATTTTGATGTCTATGTTCCCTGTTACACCATTGTTTGTCTAAAAAATTTAGTTTGAATCTTAGCGATTTATCAAAATCATCAGTTTCTTTTCCTTCACCTTTTGAAGAAAACAGTGGACTGTTAAAATGGAATTGTCTGTATGTCTGTCATGGCTTTTGGAACACAGAGTATCTGCTTCTAAATAATTGATGAAGAATGTTCAAAATTGGTGTAGATGTTCGTTATGTGAATGTCTTGACTGAGTTCCATCATGAGCATTTCCTGCTTAAAATGTTAAAGCAGAGATAAGAAATTGGATTGGCCAAGACTTTAGAAAAGCACAATAGGCCTACTCGTCCAGTTAACACAACGGACAATCTCACATCGGTCCACAAAAGAGAGACACATACTAGTCGCCTCCAACTTCCGATTTCCAAGGCATTATAGTCCAAACCTTGACTCTCATACCAATAAACCATTTGGTACTATTTTGTACCTATTTCATATTAAACCCCTTGTTGAAACTTGAAATGGAAGTTGATAACCCAAAAATCACGGTTTTAGCTTGTGGACCCTCTAGAGCTCACAATTTTGATCCAATTTTGATGAAACTTGAAATACATGTTTATAATCCAAATATCTTGGTTCCTCTCGATATTCGGGCATATCGGATCGTAACTTCCTGAATTATGTCGCCTGATTGTACGAAAAATCGCATTTTTAGCTTGTGGTCCCTCTAGAGGTCACAATTTTCATCCGATTTTAAAAAAAAAAAACGTTTTTGTATATCACCGTTACACCCTAATGATGGTTGAGTTCGATTTTTGTGAAAATCGGACGAAAACTGCCAGACAAAATGGCCGCCCCTCTACGCAAATACAAATAGTGTAAACATCTGGTATATCAAAGTTGTGGGCCCTCTTGAGGCATACATGTGATTGGTCACAAGTAAAATGTCAGGAGATTTTTGTAAAAATGTCAGGAAAATTAAGCTCAAAAGAGGGAGACTTTATCATGCGTTAAAATTACCCACCCACCATGAATAAAAGACAAATTAATTTAGATATTTTATATATTTTAATATCATTTGATTGTTATAATTACACAAACTTAACAAAACACATGAAAACACACAATAAAGCACTTGTCATACTCATGTCTCTATATTAATTTTCCAATATTTACTGAAAGCACACTTCTTACATGTACAAACACACTTCTTACATAAACAAACACACTACTTGTCCTCCGTCAATCTGTCTTTATAACTTTGGCAACATCTTGACACTTGTTTTAATAATAACTTTTCTGGGACAAAAGAAAAACACTCTGTGTCCATGTTGAGTTTTACGCTCTTCAAGGAGGAGGTGGTAAAGTTGGATAAATTTCCTCTGGCATCCTGTTCAATCTTTCTTGAAATTGAAAACGACCTTTCCACTGCCGCATTACTGTTAGCTAGGTAAACTTAAGATAGCTAAACATAATTTAGATAATACAGCAAGCTGAAAAGCAGTAAATTCTCCACATTATAATCCAATAACAAACAACTGTTGTGCTAATCTTGTCATTTAGATTTAGATTTTAGAACCTTGTGAACCTTCAAACAACAGAAATTATAATGTCATCTGTATGAAATTGTCTATTAAATTCCCCTAATTACCTACAAAAGAATAAATATGTGACAACCCTTGTCGACTGCTCGGACGATTTAGCTGCTGTGAGCGTATGTTTTGTTGCCTGGCAACCTATCTTTTCAGTATATAATTACATTCAAGATACATGCTATATTGTAATTTACAAAATTTCTCTCTGCTTTGAAGAAGCCCATTTTTTGAAAGCTATTTCAACATCTTGGGTAACCATTGCTTAGTAACATTAAATTACACATTGTATTTGTTTCAATGAATATCTGTATTTGTTTTTTTATAATATTTTGTCAACTAAACCCAATTGCACAGTCTGCAGTTAACATTGGAATTTTCAACATATTCTATTTTTCTCTGTCGCGAACTTTTGTGGTACCCTAAAATGCAGACCTATTGTAGAAGCTTCAACATTCAAAGATGTAATATTATTAGATGGACGAGAGCTGATCATGTGAGCATTTTGGTGGTGACATACTAAATAAAATCTGACTTTCTTCTATCGGACGTTGACTAAGACTGTTCAGTTTTTCGCTACGACCCATGGCATGTGATTTGATGATAACTGACTTTCGACAACCCAAAGAATATATACGCATTTATAAACTGGAACAACAAACCTGCCTTCATTTATTAACGATACGGGCAACAGGAGTAAGAAAAAGATAAAACAGTCGTCATAATCCAATAATCTCAAACAAATCGAGCGAGTAATATTAACAGTGTCTGCCATTTTGAATATATAGAAACCTTCAAAAAAGTCACTGATTCGTAATTGAAGACAAATAATTAAATCTTTAGTCTCTTAATTAGTTTATTACTACTCTTACTGTAAATAGTAATCAACACTAATCCGAGAATGATTAATAGACAAAAGATATCTCTATTATTGGTACCCATTTGATTGATAACTGACTCAGCCAAGTGCAATAGACTGTAACGTGTATGCACAGCATGGAAATCAAAGCTTTGTGGCAAGAAAAAGTTATCGCCAAAAATTTCGCAAGATTGAATATTTTATCGCCAAAATTATATTTTTATCGCAATTGGCGGAAATGGCGATCGACAGCGTGAGCGCTGACTACGCCCCTGTTATCAAGGTTTTGGACCCTCTAGAGCCCACAGTTTTAATCCGATTTTGATGAAACTTTAAATATATGTTTTTATCATAAAGATCTTGGTTCCTTTTGATAATCACACATATCCGAACATAATTTCCTTGATTATGGTCCCTGAATGGTCGAAAAATCGCATTTTTAGCTAGTGGATCTGTAGAGGTCACAATTTTTCAATTTTGAAAACCATTTAGATATATCACCATTCCACCATAATCAAGGTTGAATTGGAATTCCGGGAAAATTAAAATGAAAGTGCCCATCAAAATGGCCGCTCTTTGTACGAAAATTATGTATAAATATGTAATACAAATACAAAGGTTATGGACCCTTTTGATGAAACTTAAAACATATCTTTATATTCCAAAAATCTCAGGCCCTTTTGATATTTGCACATTTCAGACCATAACTTTCTGGATTATGGCCCTGATTGTACAAAAAATCGTTTTTGTTTTTAGCTTTTTCTTTATCCATCGCTTGCAAAATGTGGGAGTTTCCTGCCTGGCACCGGCTGGTTTGTCCTGATACTGTACATTACACTTAAACATACATCATGCAAGAGCTAAATCTACCTATTGCGGGTCTTTCTTTAGGCCTGAAATGTTATTTAAATTATTAATTAGACATTAATTAACTTATCCAGACCATAATCAACTCTCGATGTCATTGCTAGCCAGCAATATTATCTGGATTAGAATCTAATCTGCTGGTTAACACTCATTGATAATTAAATTAAAAAATGGATAATCGAGACTGTTTTTTATCACACCGAGTTTAGTAATGATGATAGAGGCTAGACCCAAAATTCAATCGCTAAAATCTTGGTTCAGAGTGGATCAATGTGAATGAAATTTTCAGCAAATTGCCTTTACATTATCTAGTTTTTATACGCCCACATTTTCATGTGGACGTATATTGTCATCGCCCCTGTCAGTCCGTCCACAATTTGTTTGTGGACACTCTACAGGTCACAATTCTTATCTGATTTTGACGAAACTTGAAATATAGGTTTATCTCCAAAAGATCTCGGCTGCTTTCAAAAATTGGCATGTATCGGATCGAAACTTCATGGATTATGGCCCCTGTTTGTACGAAAAATCAAGTTTTTAGCTTGTGGACCCTATACAGGTCACAATTTTTATCCGATTTTGTTGAAACTTGAAATGTAAGTTTATTACCCATAGATCTCAGTTCCTTTCGATATTCGCGCATATCGGACCATAACTTCCTGAATTATGGCTCCTGATTGTACGAAAAATTTCGTTTTTAGCTTATGGACCCTATAGAGGTCATAATTTTTATTCGATTTAAAAAACCGTATTACTATATCACCGTTACACCCTAAGGACGAATGAGTTCGAATTTCATGAAAATCGGCCCAAAATTGACAGACAAAATGAACTTGATACAGTTGGGCGGCGTTGAGCGACCCCCCCCCCCCCCCCCCCCCCCCGCCCCCGTCCGACTGGGCTACTCTGTATTATCTTAGTTCACTGCTACCACTGCTCAATATTGGGCGGTGAACTAAATCAACCATCATTGGCATACAAAATGGCTGCCGTTCGTTCTCAAATAGTGTAAAAATATGGTATATCAAGATTTTGGACCCTATAGAGGTCACAATTTTTATCCGATTTTGTTAAAACTTGAAATGTAAGTTTATAACCCAAAGATCTCGGTTCCTTTCGATATTCGCGCATATCGGACCGTAACTTCCTGAATTATGGCCCCTGATTGTACGAAAAATCACGTTTTTAGCTTGTGGACCCTATAGAGGTCATAATTTTTATCCGATTTAAAAAAACGTATTATTATATCACTGTAACACCCTAATGACGGCCGAGTTCGAATTTCGTGAAAATCGGCCCAAAACTGACCGACAAAATGGCTGCCCTTCGTTTTCAAATAGCGTAAAAATATGGTGTATCAAGGTTGTGGACCCTATAGAGGTCACAATTTTTATCCGATTTTGTTGAAACTTGAAATTTAAGTTTATAACACAAAGATCTTGGTTCCTTTCGATATTTGCGTATATCGAATTGTAATTTCCTGAATTATGGCCCTTGATTGTAGGAAAAATCACTTTCTTTTTAGCTTGTTCTCTATCCATCTCTCGAAAATGTGGTCGTATCCTGCCTGGCAGCCGCTGGTTATATATTATAGTGAGAACTGTCAGCTCTTTATCTACAGTAATCTCCCATAATGTATCTTTAATTGAAGACAATTTTTATCAAATAACTTGTACAACCATGGGTAACAATGGAAATATTAACCTTATAGCAGGTTGTCTCAAGAATATTAAACAACACAATCACTGTAGTGCATTTAATAGTTATTGGCATTTACACAAAAATATTTCATTAAACTTTTTCCCCTTCAGTTTAATAAACACATCAAAAGAGCAGAAGGGCAGAAACCCCAGAAAGTAGAATTGACAATATCTGTAGATGGTGTCACAATTCAAGATAGAGTATCCAAGGTTTGTAATAATTATCATGTTGACCATCATAGAGCGGGAGCCCAGGGGGTTAACCTAGCTGAAAAGTGTACCAATTTTCTCCTATATGGTATCAATGTATGTATATCTGGTATCATCAGAATGTAAGTCTGCCGGGTTTCTGGTGGTGGGTGTGGTATTCCACGCCCAAAATGCCATGCCCCCCTACTAGTATAGATTAGCTCAAAAGTGTACCACATGAAAATCGCACAGCAATGTACCGTACATCTTCAGGTATTACAAAAACACTCTGACAGATATTTCTAGTGGCGGGGTACCCCTGACAGAGCTATGTAATTGCCAGACATTTGTAGTGATGGAGTATCCCTGACAAAGAGTTATCTAATTTCCAGACCAAAGCTAGGCTAGATTAGCTGAAATCTGTACCACCTAAAACAGCTTTGGAGTTGTTCAGTACCACCACAGGAATCATGAATGACCACTGCCAGACAGTTTGTGCGGTGGGTTGCCCCTAACAGACACACCCAAAATAACACGACCCCCAACTAGGAAAGATTAGTTGGCACTGTTCCTGTGGTCCAAAAAATTAAAAATTGTGCCAGGATGCGTAGAATACTAATACCTAGCACATATGGAAGAAGCGATAAATTGCGGTTGTAGGACCAATTTTTTTTTTTCAACGCATTTTTAGCCCCATAAAATGTTTTTTGCCCCAAAATCAATTTCTTGCAATCGCAGTTTATCGCCTCTTCCATACGTGCTAGGTATTAGTATCCTGCGCATCCTGGCTAAAAATCTTAATTTTTTAGAACACGGGAACAGTGTCTAACAGACACGCCCAAAATACCACGACCCCCAACTAGGATAGATTAGTCGGCACTGTTCCTGTGGTCCAAAAAATTAAAAATTGTGCCAGGATGCGTAGAATACTAATACCTAGCACATATGGAAGAAGCGATAAATTGCGGTTGTAGGAACAATTTTAATTTTAAAAAACGCATTTTAGCCCCATAATGTTTTTTGCCCAAAAATCAATTTCTTGCAATCGCAGTTTATCGCCTCTTCCATACGTGTTAGGTATTAGTATCCTACGCATCCTGGCTAAAAATCTAATTTTTTAGAACACGGGAACAGTGTCTGCGAAGCTAGCCTAGTTGGGGGCGTGGCATTTTGGGGCGTGGTGGTACTGAACAACTCCAAAGCTGTTTTAGGTGGTACAGATTTCGGCTAATCTAGCCTAGCTTTGGTCTAAATATTACATAACTCTTGTCAGGGATACTCCACCACTACAAATGTCTGGCAATTACATAGCTCTGTCAGGGGTACCCCACCACTAGAAATGTCTGTCAGAGTGTTTTTGTAATACCTGAAGATGTACGGTACACTGCTGTATGATTTTCGTGTGGTACACTTTTGAGCTAATCTAGCCTAGTTGGGGATCATGGCATTTAGGGCGTGGAATACCACACCCACCACCAGAAACCCGGCAGACTTATATTCTGATGATACCAGATATACATACATTGACACTATATAGGAGAAAATTGGTACACTTTTCAGCTAGGTTGACCCCCTAGGCTCCCGGTCTATCAGTAAATCAGTTAAATGTGTAAAAACTAGTTTTCATTTTGTTTTAGTTGCAACGGACAGTTTGATATCATCAACACCATCTCCTCGAAACGAATGTAATGTTATGAAATAATATGTAACCGAATTATTCAACATTTAGGATATTTTTTTGTTCTTATTACTTGATGGTACAGGGTTTACTCTCGCTCACATTCTGTTCAGTTCTTCTGGACAGTTCTTTTGTGACTGGAATCTTTTGATGGAGTTAAACTTTGTTTTATTTTTTATTCTAGATGATAATGCATCAATACCCTTTACATCGAATATCTTATTGTGCAGATGACAAATCGGACAAAAGAATGTTTACTTTCATAGCCAAATCAGCCAATACTTCTCAGCATAATTGTTACGTTTTTGAGAGTGAAAAATGTGTAAGTATTCATATAAGTTCCTTTCTTGCTTTCAAAACACAATTAGCTGTTCAAAATAAAATGTTAGATATCTGCAAAGAATGTGATTCTTTTCATGGCTGGGATGAGGAGTTATGTTTGGTCTGCTCCCCTGTAAAAACCTTCTATATTTCCCTTTGCATATTTTGATATTATGTTACTTAGAAATGAAATTTGGTGGAAATCTTTTCTGATGTTCTGAAAAAGAAGATGAAAATATGTCTTCTAATGCTGCTTAGAAAATAAACCATTATAACATCATTATAAATACCACACCATTTAGTTAAAGATGGGTTCCCGCGTACAAACTGGGTGATTTAATGGTATATATGGACTAAAAACATATTCAAACTAATTAATTTGTCATAACTTTGCTTCAAATCCTTCTCAAACATTGTAATTGCGAAGGAATGTCCTGCTATAAAAATTTGATCAAACCCGGTCATGTTTATGTCACGTGACTTACCTCTCTTGGAAAACAGAGGAGAATTCATTGCATACACAAGACGATGTTGTCTTTAATCGCTTACTATTTATTACAAATATTGAATCCTAATTAAATTCTCAGATTATCCACCACCCACGTCTTTTTTCGCCATTTTTATCCCAGAAAGTGTTGTATGTCTAACTCTTCATAAAGTTTATCAACTTGTACATCAAGCGCTCAATGTTCGCTTGTGACCTTTGACAACACACGTGCAGAAATTCCTAATCGTCAGGCTGTTGATTAGGGGAACCCTTACATTTTTGTCCTGTATACGCTCCATGAGTGTTTTTCGGGGAATCCAGTATTTTTCTAGTAAGATTGGATATCTCTACTTTCTATATTTACCAAAATTACCATACTTTTATTGGAAAAAAACACCCGATAAATACTTTTCTCGGAACCCATCTTAAATAAACTGGCAAAATGAATACAATTTCAGTCTGAGGAAATTACGCTGACTGTTGGTCAGGCTTTTGACCTGGCCTATAGAAGGTTTTTAGATTCTTCGGGTAAAGATATGGACATGAAGAAACAGTTTCTTTTACTACAGAAAAAGGTAATAATAGAAATCATCATCCACAATTTCCATGCGGTGTTCATGATATATTAAGAACAGAAGCCTATTGAATTTCAACATTTTTTGTTTATTACTTCTGGAGTTATTGAACTGCTCACATACAACAGACTTAACTGTTGTGGATGTACCTTTTGTTACCTGGCAACCTATCATTTTGATTTCTAGTACTCTGTAGACAATGAACATGAGTTATAGGTTATAACAAAGGTATAGGACAAGATGTTAACTATTTACAAATTCACTTAGGCAAATAAAACGGTCTTGATTATTTAAAAAAATGTTAATAAGTATCTACTCTTATCAATGACAGGTTCAGACACTACAGACTGAAAATGATAGTTTAAAGAAAAGAATTGCTGAATTAGAGAAATTGAAAGAAGTATCAAATTCAGATGTGAATGATAGTCAGGTAAATACATTATTATTCTAGATACACTTATATTTTTATACGCCCACATTTTCATGTGGACGTATATGTGTCGTCGCCCTTGTGAACACTCTACAGGTCACAATTTATATCCGATTTCAACGAAACTTGAAATATAGGTTTATCTCCCTAAGATCTTGGTTCCTTTCCTTTCGATATTGGCATGTATCGGATCGTAACTTCATGGATTATGGCCCCTTATTGTATGAAAAATCGCATTTTTAGCTTGGTTGATATCGAATTTCGTGAAAATCGGACCAAAACTGCCGGACAAAATGGCTGCCCTTTGTACACAATTAGGTAAACATCTGGTACATCAAAGTTGTGTACCCTCTAGAGGTCACAATTTTGATCTGATTTTGATGAAACTTGAAATGCATGTTTATAACCCAAAGATCTTGTTTCTTTTGATATTCGGGAATATCGGATGGTAACTTCCTCAATTATGGCCCCTGATGGTATGAAAAAATCATGATTTTAGCTTGTTGTAGAGGTTACAATTTTTATCCAATTTAAAAAAAACGTGAATATAGCACCATTACACACTAAGATCTTGGTTACTTTTGATAATCGCGTATATCCGAACGTAACTGCCTGGATTATGGCTCCTGATTGTTCGAAAAAACTTTTTTCCGATTTTGAAAACCATTTAAATATTTCACCGTTCCACCATTATGAAGGTTGAATTTGAATTTCGGGAAAATTGAAATGAAACTGCCCAAGAAAATGGCCGCTCTCTGTACGCAAATTGTGTGAAAGTATGCAATACGAAGGTTGTGGACCCTCTAGAGGTCACAACTTTTATCAGATTCTGACGAAACTTAAAACATATCTTTATACCCCAAAGATCTCATTCCCTTTTGATTTTTCGCGCATTTCAGACCATAACTTTCTGGATTATTGCCCCTGATTGTACAAAAATCCTGTTTGTTTTTAGCTTGTTCTCTATCCATCTCTTGCAAAATGTGGGCGTATCCTGCCTGGCAGCTGCTGGTTCTCTAGTTTTAATAATGTGTAATCATAACTGCTTACTTTCTGTAGAAATCAAAATCTACCGTTGGTCGAAGATTAGAAAATTTATTACTTGATACAACAACAGTGCTTCCAGTGTCACAAACCAATGGTGCCAATAATTATGATAATACAACACCTACCATAGACTCGGTTCCTGTTACACCTGTATGTAAGTAATCAAATCACAAAACGATCTTTAATCTCATGTTTTTTTATGCAAGTTGCAGAAAAAGTTGTGTCAGTAGACATAGTGAACCTACTATTTCATATGCCTGACATTCATAAATTTGAGCTAAATGCATTTGTTATAATGTAACCTCAGATCAATAAATATTGGTAGAATTACATGTCATTTTAACATAATTGTCTTGAGCTAAATTGTGTTCATTGCCTTGCTGGAATGTGCTGGTTTTTATACGCCCACATTTTCCTGTGGACGTATATTGTTGTTGCCCCTGTCCATCTGTCCACAATTTGTTTGTGGACACTCTACAGGTCACAATTTTTATAGGCCACATTTTCATGTGGACATATATTGTCGTCACCCCTGTCCGTCCGTCCATCCACAATTGTTTGTGGACACTCTACAGGTCACAATTCTTATCCAATTTTGATGAAACTCGATATTGGCATGTATCGGATCGAAACTTCATGGATTATGGCCCCCGTTTGTACGAAAAATCACGTTTTTAGCTTGTGGACCCTATAGAGGTCACAATTTTTATCTGATTTTGTTGAAACTTGAAATGTAAGTTTATAACTCAAAGATCTCGGATCCTTTCGATATTCGCGCATATCGGAATGTAACTTCCTGAATTATGGCCCCTGATTGTACGAAAAATCGCGTTTTTAAGCTTGTGGACCTTAGAGAGGTCATAATTTTTATCCGATTTAAAAAACCGTATTATTATCTCACCGTTACACCCTAAGGACGACTGAGTTCGAATTTGTGAAAATCGGCCCAAAATTGACGGACAAAATGGCCGCCGTTTGTTCTCAAATAGCGTAAAAATATGGTATATCAAGGTTGTGGACCCTATAGAGGTCACAATTTTTATCCAATTTTGTTGAAACTTGGAATGTAAGTTTATAACCCAAAGATCTCGGTTCCTTTCGATATTCACACATATCGGACCGTAACTTCCTGAATTATGGCCCTTGATTGTACGAAAAATCGCGTTTTTAGCTTGTGGACCCTATAGAGGTCATAATTTTTATCCGATTTAAAAAACCATATTATTATATCACCGCTACACCCTAAGGACGTTCGTTCTCAAATAGCGTAAAAATATGGTATATCAAGGTCATGGACCCTATAGGGATGACAATTTTTATCCGATTTTGTTGAAACTTGAAATGTTAGTTTATAACCCAAAGATCTCGGTTCCTTTCGATATTCGCGCATATCGGACCGTAACTTCCTGAATTATGGCCCCTGATTGTACGGAAATTCGCGTTTTTAGCTTGTGGACCCTATAGAGGTCATAATTTTTATACGATTTAAAAAACTGTATTATTATATCATTGTTACACCCTAAGGACGACAGAATTCGAATTTCGTGAAAATCAACCCAAAATTAACATACAAAATTGCTGCCGTTCGTTCTCAAATAGCGTAAAAATATAGTATATTAAAGTTGTGGACCCTATAGAGATCACAATTTTTATCCGATTTTGTTGAAACTTGAAATGTAAGTTTATAACACAAAGAATCTCAGTTCCTTTCGATATTCGAGCATATTGAATTGTAATTTCCTGAATTATGGCCCTTGATAGTCGGAAAATCACTTTCTTGTTACCGTTTTCTCTATCCATCTCTCGAAAATGTGGGCGTATTCTGCCTGGCAGCCGCTGGTTATACGACCACATTATCGTCGTCCCCGTCCGGGGGTCCGCCGTCCACAAGCAATTGTGGACGCTCTAGAGGCTAAAGTTAATATCCAATTGACTTTAAATTTATACACAGTGTTTAAGTTCATGAGGCGAAGAAGCCTTTTGATTTTCAGCGATTTCCGATAATTAGTGCCAGAGTTATGGCCCTTGATCACTTCAAAAAATTTTGTGGATGCTCTAGAGGTCAAAGTTAATATCCAATTGACTTTATATTTATATACAGTGTTTATGGCCATGAGACGAAGAAGCCTATTGATTTTCAGCTATTTCCGATAATTACTGCCAGAGTTATGGCTCTTGATCACTTTGAAAAATCTTGTGGACGCTCTAGAGGCTAAAGTTAATATCCGATTGGCTTTAAGTTTATACACAGTGTTGAGACGAAAAAGCCCAGTGATTTCAGATAATTACTTCCAGAGTTATGGCCCTTGATCACTTTCAAAAATCTTGTGACACTCTAGAGGCTAAAGGTATCATCTGATTGGCTTCAGATTGATGCACAGAGTTGAAGGTCTTGAGACGAACAAGTATATTGATTTTCAATGAACAGCTAAATCCATGATATTAAATGTTTCGTATACTAAACATTAGCATGGGGCAGAACTTTATAAAAACCTAACAAATTCTAATGATTTTCTGATAATTACTTAATGAGTTGTTACTCTTAATCAGATTTTAATGTATTATAAATGTTTCATTACCGAAAAAAGTAAAAATATGTGACAACTTTTGTTGACTGCCAGGACGATTTAGCTGCTGTGGGTGTATATTTCGTTGCCTGGCAACCTATCTTTGTTTAGCTTGTTCTCTATCCATCTCTTGCAAAAAGTGGGACGAATCAAAAATTCATGTTTGTTAAGTTTTCTTTGGCAAAGTCAAACAAGTCTCTTGGTTCGATAATTTGTTTATCGTACGGGCGCCGTAGGCTTTCTTTAGTTGCCTCCCTTTTGATGGTGCCTCCCCCCCCATCTGACGGCCCCTTCTCGTGGCTGGTGGCAAAAAGATGCCACTCGGCCTTCACAGCCATCGGTGAAGTAGAAAATCTTGTTTACACTTTCAAATCTCCAATTACGAGAAACACCCCAGGTTTCAATTCCGTCTTCTTTTCCTTAAGAAATCGTGATTGCATTTGCGACACAAAATCGTGCCTTGACAGTTTCTTCACCTTCGAGCAAAATTCCTCAACAAAATCTTCAACCGCCACCACTTCAGTTTTCAATTCGGAACCATCAACGGTCGTCCACTGCTTAAATTGAATTTCGTCAACGTCGCCTTGTTCAAATGCGGCAAGCAGAGAATCTTGAAGATCGTCCAACTTCCCCGCACAGTTCTTGCATTGAGGGAAATAACATGCTGGTTGTGCGGGGTTACAAACAATGAGCGATATCGCATGATGATAATCATGCAAGTTCAAGTTGTTTCCGTTCAAATCAAGTTCAAGCTCACTCATTTTTGACCCAATCATCATCAACTTCACATTTTGGTGGATTGTACATACACACACACAGTGCGTTCCGCTGCTTCCTGCCAAAACACATTCATGAGGGTGCAACATCGCAAATTTTGAAAAACCTATCTTCACATCGGCATGGTCTTCTTTGAATTTTTGAAACAATTCTTTGAGATTGCACAACACAAGTCTTTTCTGAACTTTCATTTTACCATTTTCACCTTGCACGGTTAGATAATCTTTTTTACCCGACATTTCGCGACTCTCAGATTTGTAAAAGTCAATAATCATGTTTACGTCGCCTTCTTGCAACATTTTGCCGAGTTTCGGATTCGGGGACGATAAAATGCCTTTTTCCAACTAAAGCTTTTTTGCCTGGACAGCCATTCTTTGAGAACAACCAAATTCAGCCATCAACTTTCTCACACTCATGCTTGGAGAAAAAAACGTCATGATTGTTATTTTCTCTGCGCGGGTAGTATCAGCTTCATTATACTTCGCCTTCAGCGTGGCAAAAACCTCACATCCACTCCCGTTGCACTTTTTGGCTGGTATTTCCCTGCTGTCAGTATTACCAGGTGCAATCAAGTCCAATCTCTTTCTCACTACCCCCTCGATTTTGGCCCGTTTCGTTGCTGCGTAATGGGCTTTCCCCCATCATTTCCAGCGATTCATTTAGATTTTCTAATTCTGTCTCTAATTCAATGAAATCTACATCCTCAGCTCCTTCACTCAACGCACACTTAGTGTCCTCATGCTCAACGTCCGGCACAGCATCCTCACAGTTCCCCTGTTTGTCATCCGACGCTACACTCACCTCATGCGGCAGTTCCCCCGCGACATTCTTTTCCTACATGCGGAACATACACGGTCACCTTTCTTTACCATCGACGGGTATTTCTCAATCATTACTTTAGACACATCTCTCAAGTCCTTCAGCTTCAGTTTGTCATGGCATTTGAAAGGATCTGCACAAAACTTACGAAAATACCCCTTTTTACGAGTTAAATCCATTATTTCATTCAAATTTTACTTTTTTTGATATAACAGAAAATATTCACTCTCGTTTCTCAGAAAATGCTGGATACCAGTCAAACATACACTGGACCTCAGACTCAACCATGAAGACTCAACCCAGGTGACATTTTCGAAAGCATTTTTGGGCATGATCCCATTTTCATTTTTGGCATACGGGTGGTTGATATACAGAACATGATTTTGAGAAAAAAATTGGGGTCATCGGATTTTCTGCCCGGACAGGGTCAAAGAAATAAAAAGAAAATTTGAAAACATTATCTGATAACATCGTGTAATACGTCAAGTGGAAGGTCTGGGTTTCCTGATCATTTTGGTACCAACTTTACGAAAAATTTGGTCGGCCCAAAAACGTCATTTTTGGGTCGATTCGCCTGAACTTTTGTTTTTACACTTTTTTCATCCAACCTCACCATTAGACATCAAATGAACGAAATCTGAGATGTCTTGTCAATTTTCGGTCGGAAAGTGTGTACACTTGACGAGGAATGCCCCAGCCATCAAATTCTCATCTTCGATATCAAAAAAAGTAAAATTTGAATGAAATAATGGATTTAACTCGTAAAAAGGGGTATTTTCGTAAGTTTTGTGCAGATCCTTTCAAATGCCATGACAAACTGAAGTTGAAGGACTTGAGAGATGTGTCTAAAGTAATGATTGAGAAATACCCGTCGATGGTAAAGAAAGGTGACCGTGTATGTTCCGCATGTAGGAAAAGAATGTCGCAACTGCCGCCTGAGGTTAGTGTAGCGTCGGATGACGAACAGGGGAACTGTGAGGATGCTGTGCCG